GGACTGCAGCCAACGCAATCGTAATCCCAGACGAGGTCGCAACGCTACACATTTGATGCCATTTCAAAACAAAAAACAAAAAATATATTAAAAATAAACGAAAAACATAACGCGCCTCATTCATGTATTTGCTCGTGTTTGTGCCTTTGATTTGCCTTTGCCAATTGACCGAATTGTTTGGCGTGGGCTATAAATATCCGCATGCAAATTTATTTCTCATTGATGAACTAATCAAACGATAAAAAACAGAAAAAAAGGTGTCCAGCACAGCTCAACACTTTTGAGAGTCACCTGTTTTTCCAGATGTAAACTAAGCCCTAGAGCTTCATTTTGAGAATAACAAAAATAAAAAAAATACGTTCAACAATTTCGCACTTGTTTACACAAAAAACTAAATAAGGTAGAGGAAGAAGAGAGACGCGGCACGTTTAGTTTAAGTATTTTTCAATAGGTAAACAAATATTTTAGTTAGGAAAGTATAGCTCTATGTAGTATCGTTTTAATACCCTTGCATAAGGTATTATTATTTTGTCACGAAATATGTAACGCATAAGACATATCCAACTCCCATAAAGTATATATATTCTTGATATCCTATCCTATTTATATATCTATATTATATCTTTCGGTGAGCTTCTTTCTCGTTTATTTTCGATTGAGATCATAGAGCAATATTTATTTATGTAATATGTTAAAAAGGGGCATGAGAGAGGCGAAAATTGAGCTTTGTAATCTTGTTTGACATAAACTTTCCTTAAAGAACTCAGTGACTGTTAGAAGTACACTTATAAATTTTGGTTTTATCAAATGAAAACTAAGACAAAAATACATATGCTGGAAAATCAAAAGAATATGTACAGTGAACAGCGTATCGACCAGTCGAGCAATCACTGTTACAGTGCTTTTACTTGTTTTCCGCTATCAGAGTCGGCGTCTGCTTCGGCTATGCTTATCTTATCGTATTGGGGGAAACGCTCGACATTTGCTAATTATAGATATGCCCGCCAACTCTGGAGAAGTCATGTGTGCACTTGGCGTTAAGCCCGGAATTTTATTTTGTTGCCACCAAATTTGAATGACAAAATGCACTAAAAGGCGCATAAACAGACATTCATGCCTCTCGAGCTAAAGCATTATTTTTATAGGATTAAGTTCAAATTGTTATTGTGGCTTTTGTTGTTGGGCAACTTTGTCATCGCGTTTGCTTTGATTGCGCGCTGATAAGTGCGTGTTGGCTCTTTATCGAAAACATAAAGAGCCCAATCATTTGTTTCTCATCCCAATTTGGGTTCTATCTAATGGGGGCAAGGTTGACAAAGGCCCGAATATAAATGGGCCGCCAGCAAATGCACAAAATACTTGTGTTTACACAATTTCTGTAGTTTTTCGGCTGTTCTTTTCGTAAATTTAATTTTTTTTTTTTTTAGTTTTGTTTTGTTGCATCGAATACATTTGCTGTCGGTTTCAGTTGCAAAGACGCAACAGAACACCAGAAACGGCAACTCGGGAAAATCGAAACTCCAGACTCTGGACGCCAGCCAATGCAAATGGACTGTGCGATAATCGGCGGCGCCTTAAATAAGCGATAAATTCAGGCGTGTATTGAGTGTATACAACTGAATATACACTGAGATATATTTAATGCATATATATATATGTGCATACACATATTGAATGTCAGTCTACAAAAGAACACACACAACACCCATCTACATTATTAAATCATGCAAGCTGCATATAAGTCCTCATTGTTTTTAATTATTTCATCATTTAATATATATAGCCCATTTTCAGAGCCTTCGATTGATGCGTTATCTGACTGACCCATTTATACTGACAACTGAACATTGAGGTTGCCGGTTCAAATCCTTGGCTGGTGTATGAATAATTTAAGATCTACTTAGTACTTATAGATTTTTAATCATAACCATCTTTTACCCTTCTGTGCTCTCCCTTTCTGTACAACCTTCCGGAACGATTGCATCAACATTTTTTGACTATAAGTAATTATTAGACGACTCAATCGGAAGTAATTTACACAAAAACAAAAAAAAACAGTTGATAGCAATTTCTTGAAAATTTGATAAGGTATTTTTACTACGAACTGAAGCACATATAAACAAGAAATTGAAAGCCTTTTAGGAAATTCAAGACGCAACTCTACTAGCACATTATTATATGTAAAATAAGGTAAAACCCCTTTTTACAGATCGCATCGTGACAGGCACATTAAAAGCGCTTAAGGCAAAAAATAAGGGCCATAAATTAGTCAATTAGCAAATGCGCCTCAAGATAAGCGGCTTCTGATCTATTTCAACAGTTCTCGAGGTGACGTCAAAGCTTGTGAGTTGGTAACTAGTGAAATTTGCACTACCCATAGCATGCGATAATGCAGCGACAGTAAACGTATTTTTCAACATTTCTTGTTTTTTTTTTTGCAAATATCACAAATATGGCCAAGATAAGAACGTTCAGCTACGGCGTCATCGATACAGTTCTCTTATGCTTCTTCTTGCTCGCCTTTGGCCGGGAGTTATACACACACGAATATTTTGCGGTTTGTGCGCTGAGTTATTGGCCATAAAAAAGTTTTCGTTGAAATTTGAACGCGCACTCGCACATTTCTGTGAATTATGCGCCACAAATTAGCACCTGTCTTGACTGCTACGACGAGTATCGAGTCTGTGTTTCACAGACATATATATACTACATATATACATGTGTAGTAGACTCGCATGTTCCAGCCAGCGACAACTGTTGCGTAATTTCCGCCTACACCTCCCAACGACCACGTCACATGTAAAATATATTATCTCGCCTCGGATTCTCAATTGGTTTTAACACCAACTGTTACTTGACATACACACTTTTTTTGGTTAAATGATTCAGGGCATATTCTTGAGAATTGGTTAAACTATTTGAAAATAATTTACAGCCAACATAAAAAGTGTAAACAAACAATTTACAAAGTAGCGCCCGATTGTGTAAAGCACATAATTGGTAGTCGGTAAAGTTAGCAGAAATGCAAGAATGTTTGCGCCACACACAACAAATAGATACAGAGATACACAGATATAGAGATACAAATAGATAAATAGCTGTAACTAAGCACCTACAAGTTGTGTGGTTTTCGTTTTTTCCTAGCTGTGCATGAATGAGTGTATCTGAGTGCAGACACAGGCCACTCACAAGCGAGTGCGTAGCTGTTAAAGATTTCACATGCACGTAAAATGCGTGCGTCAGTGCGTTTTCACAATATTATTATTATTCCCTGAATGGGTTAAAAGGCTATAAGGTATAAGGTATAAGGTATAAGGTATAAGGTATAAGGTATAAGGTATAAGGTATAAGGTATAAGGTATAAGGTATAAGGTATAAGGTATAAGGTAAGGTATAAGGTATAAGGTATAAGGTATAAGGTATAAGGTATAAGGTATAAGGTATAAGGTATAAGGTATAAGGTATAAGGTATAAGGTATAAGGTATAAGGTATAAGGTATAAGGTATAAGGTATAAGGTATAAGGTATAAGGTATAAGGTATAAGGTATAACTGCACTTGATTAGGAAGAAGAGCTGAGTCATTCTAGTTCGTCTACGAGAGAGAGAGAGAGAGAGAGAGGCAGCAATTTAATCATTTTTAATCCCACTTTTATGATATTCGAAAATAACAGTTTCTAAAATTAATTTGATGGACCAAAGTTATATATATATATATATACAGACAAAATATTTATCTTTAGGGTATCTGCTAGTCGCGCACTCCTGACTGCGACACTCTAACTTGTAATTGCTGCGAGTTCGCCAGGCAAGAGAGGTTTAATTTTTTATTGTTGCCACGGCGCTTAAGTAATTTTAAGTGGCCGCCGTGCTGAACCAAGGGGTTAAAGTAACCACTGTTTTCTTTTTTTTTATTATTATTAAGGTTTTGGCTTGTCTCGTCTGTCTGTTTCGTGGCTTTTGGCAATTATATAACTATATAACTGTTGCTGTCGCTTGAGAAACAGGGTCAAGTTTGGCCGCAGATCAGCGCCAAACCGCAAAAAGCAGCTCAAATGAAATTATAAAGGTAATAAAAGATACAACTGCAACGGAAAATTGCATAAACGATTGCGCATTTTTTTTTCTTTTGTAGTTGTCTTGTCCACTCTTAATGCATTGAATTGTGTCTATATGCATAGTAAATCTCACAAAGCACTCGATTTGTTTGCCTTATCACTGACTCAAAGGCTGCGACGGCATCAGACCTTGATCTTAGATAAGGCAGTTTGTGTCAATTTTTAATGCTATTTTTTTCTTTTGCTTTTTTTGTACTCACTGCACACACAAAGTTTAAATAATTTGTATAAATTTTGATGTTTTGCACTATTTAGAGCTATGTATCTGTCAGATACATTTGTATCTGCAGCGCTGCTGTGCGCCTGCTGATTTATGCACACAGCTTCTCGCTTGTTTATTTATATATAAATATATTTTCTAGAGTATAAATAGTTTTTGTTTTATGTATATATATATAAATATATATTGCACCGGCAAAATTTCAATTATCTTTTATTTCTTTGTTTTTTTTTTTTTTCTTTTTTTGGTTTTTTTGGGTTTTTATTTTTCACAGAAAGTCCTTCAACGCGTTTGTTGGCGCTCTTCAAGTTTGAAGATCTTTCGTTCTGGCTGCCTGCGCAACGACTGCGTCTGTCTGCGGCGTTCGCTATCAATTTTCGGCGTCGGCGCAAAAAAAAGATACAACAAAAAGAATTTCGAAAACGAGTCTGAAAGAGGCCGAGAAATGTCAACGAGAGCTGAACGCAAATGTGCAGAACGAAAGAAAGAACAAACAAACTAACTGCAGGCATCACAATAAATTGGCTCAATGTTTGTGGCTGTCTGTCTTTGATTTTGATTTTGATATATAGAGCATCTGCACGATACTTTTGCATCTGCCAGATACTTTCGCACATTTTTCATTTTCATTTCAACTTTAGCTTTTTGGTTTGCATTTAATTACCTAGCGAACACAGAGCGGGATTGAGGATCAACACTTGGGCTTGGGCTGATAAGCGGCCGAGTGGGTGGTTGGTTGGTTGATTGGATGGTTGTTCAGCTGCCTCTCACTTGGGCTGTGGTGACACACGCACACTCCACGGCTGGCGGAGCGGCACGACGATCGTAATGCGAATAATCTATATAGAGATTTAATACACCGCGTTCGACTGTCACGGCTGCGTATCGCGGCGAAACTAACTGGCCCTAGCGTAGCGCTGGCACACGCGACCGTCCGTTCGATGGAAAAGCTTAACGCCGAATAAAAACGCACCGCTAAAAACCTAAGCACAATAGCGGCAACTGAGCAAACCGAAACTGAAACTTCACCACCGGTACGCACACATATAAATACACTACGCCGGCTGAGCGGTAGAGCAGTAGCAGCAGAGAGTGAGAGAAAAAGAGAAAGACAGAGAGAGAGAGCAGACACAAAGCTACTGGAGCTGGAGTGAGCTTCGATGAGCAAAAAAATGGTTGATCTCGCCCGCTGAGCAAAAAAATTGGCAGTCGCTGTGTACCTAGGCATGTTACTCAATTCGCCGCAACGGAGCACGTGAAAAGCACACGCACACAAGCACACACACAGGCCTGGAGCTGGAGTGAGCTTCGATGAGCGAAAAACATGTTGATCTCCCTCGCTGAGCAAAAAAAATTGGCAGTCGCCGTCTGTCTCAATTCGCCGCAACGGAACACGTGGAAAGCACACACACACACACACACACACACACAGGCACACAGGCATACAGCTATAGGCCTGCGAAGTTATGAAATTTCAATAGTAGCTCGTGAGCAAATAACTCATTCACAATAGTTATTCTGTTATTGGCCAAATTTGCAAGAGTGCAAGCGAGAAAATGCTCGTGCAGGCTTATCACCAAAAAGAGAGCGTTTCAGAAAGAGGTGGAGAGTGGGCGAGTTGCTGTCATTAGCTGAGCTTTTGTCAATAATCTTATCATTTAGTTTTTTTTCGGCTTGCAAAACTCTGCTCACTCACACCTTATATAAATACCTGTGTGTGTATTTGGGCATAAAACTTTTGGGTGTTACACCCTATATGATATCTTATCACTGTCATATCTCGCTTTGCTGATAATACACGAATGTACTCTACACAGTTCTGTTGCAGTTTTGAGTAAATTTTTAGTTATACGATTTGCGTGTTCATACTGTCTGGCTAAGACTAGCTTTAAAGCTGGAGACAATAGAATACCCCCCAAAAAAAAAAACAAAACACGCAAAATTCTCTGCATGAGCTGCGTGGTTGGCTTTGTTTACGTTTTGCTGGGTTTCTGGGTCAAAGTTAGGGGTCATTTGGAGTTCATACATTGTTTTAGGCACGCACAGATACTTTCCCATATTGAAGGGTAACTCACCGAATTTGTATTATTTTTTTTTTTTTTGCTTTTGTCTCGAACTGCGGTTGAGGCAGCTGAGTGGCAAAACTTGTGTTAATACCAATGTTAAATATTTGATTTTGAATTTATCTTATCGCCATATCTTGCACACATTTCGAGAGCTCCAACATATACTCGAAATATACTCGATGATATCACCCGAGAATCAGACCCCGGACACCAAAATTTTCAGTCATAACTTTTGAATTAGTTCTTAGCACTTACCTGCATTTAGACTGGGCTCGTTTTTTAGCTGTTAATTAAATGGATTTTCGTTTTAAATTTAATTTAAGATTTGTGTTTAATTTCAGCTCGTTCGCGTAATGTTCGTCTGGCACTTGTGTCTTATCTCATCCACAAAAAATTCGTCTTTTCTTTAATCAGACTTATTATACACTGAAATAGCAGAAGGCATCGCGTTTATTTGCCTTTAACCTTGCATGATTAGAAAAAAATGCCAACAGCAAACGCAAAATAAGATGTAGATACTGTTTTTCTCGAGTAGTCTACTTTGTAATACCCTGTTAAACGTAAAAATTTAGAGAGATTTGTGGAGTTTATAGTGAAAAAGCTCTTAAATGGCCAAATAATAAAATTTCAATAAATATAAAAACCTGAACATTCTCACCTAATACTATAGGAACAATAAATAAATTGGAATATTGTTGAGTTGTCTTATTCGAACATTCAGATATTAGGCTACCTTCTCGCTGAGAACACAAATACCCCGCTTTATGGCATATTCGGGTGTTGGCATTTCGCATAAACGTTCAAGTTCTATTCGTACGCATATCTATGTGCTTTGTTTATCTTATTGTTGATACTTGCGAAAAGGAAAAAATGGCCAAAGACGCCTCACCTGCCCCGGGCCAGGTATACGTCAATTGTATCGGAAGTGTCCAATGGCTGGGCAACAAAACGGGACTGATAAAAAAACAGAGCAGAGCAGAGACCTGAATGAATTTCATGGAGAAAATCCAAAAATTTTAATTGCAAATTTGCCCAACCTTGAACAACTGACGTCAGAGCCGCGAACAGATCACAGCAGAAAGTTTGCTGATTTCATATAACTCAAAAATGTGTGTGTATATGTTTGCGTAGGTGTGTGTGTGTGTGTGTGTATGTGTAGAGGTTGTCGTCATCAAAAATGATGGTGTATACGTGTATTTGAAATAAAAAAAAAAATGATCAAGTTGATACTATTAATATTTGCAGAGAGTCTTTGGTTAATAAGTTGTTCAAGTGGCAAAGGGGGAATAAAGAAAGGTACCTGGTTCGAATCTCAAGCGAATCTGCTTTCAATTGAATGAATATACATTGATAACAAGTGTAAGCTCCTGGGCTACTTAGTTGCCTAAGTGACAAAAGTGGAAGAAAGAAAGGAAGCTGGTTCGAATCCCAGACTTTAGAACAATTCAATTGAATGATCTATTGAGATAGAGAGATATATAAGAAGTATAAGACACATATTGCGGACAGTACTTGGTTAAAAAGAAAGGAAGCTGGTTCGAATTTTTAGGCTTCAATTGTATAAATAACTTGTACCCTTACTGACAGATTTTGCACTAACCAAATTATAAACTAGCTAGCCATCGATAACAACTAAAAAATAGAGAGATATATGCGAATTATAAGAGTAAAGTGCTCTCGAATATAACGTTTATTTGTCATTGGCATCGTGTATCGAATGATTGTTTGTCTCAAGATATGTGTTTTTTTTTTTGTATAAGTATTCGACAGCCATATCGGGCCGGTACTTGCGTAACGCCCAGTGCAAATTGTTTGTACTCAGTCAATAAATATAGTGAGATATAACTAAGAAATGGGATACAATTAATAAACACAAACACAAGCTGAAAATTATTTACTGTTTGCTATTCACAACTAATTAAGTAAATAACTCATTATTTAAACGTATCGAATTGAATTGCATTCGAAAATAGATGCGAGAGTTGCAAACACTTTGCAGATAAGATAGTTGAAATTCAATTTATTTTTATAAGTTTTTTATTTTTATTTTTTTTTTTTTTCACCAGTTACCAGTTTTAATAATATATCAAGGTCGGAAAAGTTCCCAAAATTTCTATGTGTATATTGATTTAGCTGATTTGGCATTTTCGGTACTATTCCTCGATTAGATAGTCATGATATTTATTAATGCCATTAGCTTAACTTAAATGACAAATAAATTTCTCGCTTCCTTCAATTATCGGTAATAATATATGTAATCACAGAGAATGTGTTATGCAAGTCAACTTGTTTATTTGCCTTCAAGCACAATTCACAAAGGAGCTGGTGCACATTTCAAAGAGCTGCTGCCACAAACTGCTCAAGTATCCGTATCCGTATCAAGTAGCTATCCGTATCATTTCCCATTCGCCGTACAACAAGTGGGCAGACAGTTAAATGTTTTTTCGCCCGAACACATAGTTTTCACTAAATGCATTTACAGGTGTATTCTTGCAGGTTTTTCTATCAAGTTAAATTGATTGTGCTCTCTACTTGGGAAATGAGTTGAGGGTATACCCCACTGTATACCCTCTACTCACGCCAAAAGCTGCAGCAGCGGTGCTTTTTCTCAAGGAATTGCCAAACTTGAAGTTTCTGTTCCTGGCTATTTATCGTCATCAGGAAATATATCGATAATTTTAAATAAACATAAGAAAAATAACGCTGTAAATGTCAGATTTCTGATTCCAGTATATCTGCGATTCCATAAGCGAGTGTCAGTTGTCAGTAACATTTGAATGGCAAAAACAACGCTTCTTTTAAAATTGACAGCTTATCGTTTTGATTTGATTAACATCGATACAAAAAAACACGAACTACTCGAGGCGAATACCTCGTTTTTCGAATGTGAAAAATGTGGTTTCTTATGGGAAAACGTACAAAAAAAATAAGAATGTAGACAGTGGAGTTACGCTTCAACTTGCATGGTCTCTAAGTTCGTTGTGTTTACAGGGTATACGAATCGACCCTACACAATGCTTACTCAAGCTATCTAAGCACATGACTAACATTCTTCAGCGAGTTGCATTTGCTACTTATTCTATTGACACATTTTAGACAATGCGATTATATTTAATTTCAATCAATATTGATATAGTTACCGATATGATATCGGACTGTCCGCATTATCAATTTAAAGCATATGCCAAAGCAAAAACCAATAGAGAAACGAAACAAAGCAAAACCTAATAAAGAAACTTTGGCGTATAAATCATGAATAAAAAAAACTCATTTGCCTCGTATATTTGCCATTTTATACGCGCATTTTAAGCTGGGATCTCATTAAGGCTAAGCATTTAGCTCAAGATTAGGTGAGCTCGTATATTTGCCAGCTAGATGAGCGTCTAGCTTGCAGTTTATTTGTATATTTAGATTTTTTTCGCGCTTGTGATTTCCGCATCGGGTAGTTAACCTACATAACGAAAACGAATTTTCATTGACTCGCCCGGCTTTCATTTTCATTTTCATTGGCTGTCTGACTGACTGACTGACTGTCTGATTGACTGACTGACTGAGTTACATTGAAGTAGCTGCAGTTAGTCAAATGAGTTGCACTGAACCGGAAACTCACAATTAACCGGCAATCCCCTGCCTACCCAGCCCCAGTGCCGTAATCGAAAATATTTTGGATATGTTAAGCGCCAAATTGGAGACATACTCGACGTGCGACGCGTTCCGCCTCATCGCCAGCTGGACAGGCCTTAGCTTAGGCGTAAGACTTCTTCAATATCTTCTCCCAAAAAAAAATAAATAAATAAATAAATTTCAAAAAACAACAACAATTAATTTAATTGTTTATACGTGTTGTTCTATAAATGCTTGTTCATATCTTTCTTTGGCCAGGCGAATGCATCACTATGAAATTATGATCCAGCCGCGACGTGATACCCAGTTTAGGGTTTACGTTTTACGGTTTTTGGGCTTGGGCTTGGTTCCCTTTTTTGGGGCGATTACAGTTACCACGTGTCGCTGTCAGCTGACGGGTTCGGATTCGTCTTACCAAAATGTCATGTTGATAGCTTGTAAAATTAGTAAGTAAAACAGATAACTGTATTTTCACTTTTGGGTCGCGTCAACTGCGCCCAATTCCTCGAACGGATTGGGTTTGCTCCAAAAAGAGAATATTATCTATGCATTATGTTACGTGAAAAAAAAACGTAAGCCAGTCATTGGCTGGTCTAGAATTTGCCATTTAATCGGTTTCGATGTATCTATAAACTATTATTGATTCAGATGAAATGCTTCAAGGAGACAATCATTTATATTAACAAAGGTGCTTTTTTGAAAAGAGTTTTAAATTGATCGGAAGGTAAACATAAAAGACGAGCGGAATTTCCCGAAACACCTTCTTAATACATAGAGATATAGTTTATACCGTAAATTTGTGGCATAGTTTTAAGATAAATGATTATATCAGTCTGTAGCTGGAAAAGTTAAGCAGCTCCTTCTACCAATCCAGCAAAATTATATACTAATCATGCATTTGATTTATACAATATTGGCTGAAGCATCTGCAACGAGCCGTTTCGTTGAATGCAAATGAAATTTGCAGGTGGTCGCTAATCAACGGGCTTTGTACAAACATCGTTAGCCAAACGCTAGAGCTGCACATGCTAACCAGGCCAAGAGTAAATACAAGAGTCAACAGTTCTGAAGGCAATCAGCAGGACAGGCCACCGAACACTGTGTGTGTGTGTGTCCACTTGATGGACTGGCCTCGCCCCTCCGCGATTGGCCTGGCCTGGCCTGGCCGGTTTATCTAGTAGGCGATGCGTAATGAACCTGACTTTACAGTTACATTCAATTGCCATTTAGCTGGGTCAAGGTCAAACGGTTTGTTTAGCCGAAGATCGAGTGCCGCATCTCGCTTTCCTTCAAGCGCTGCGTCTGCGTCTATGAGGGCAGAGACAAGGTGCTTTATGGCTGAACGAAACACTCGGCATGCCAGACACACGTAGCAACAACAACAACTGCGGGTAAGAACACTGCAGTCGGCTAGACCTGGCTGCAAAGTACTCTCTTCGCGGCGTAAGAACTGAACGAAGCGCTCTTATACACAATTTAATTCTACTCTTCTTTTGGTATGTATAAATACACTTATATACTTATATTCGTATACTCTCTAAAGTGCGAACGCACTTAAACAGTTAACCGTTATTGTATATCTGCTACTCTTCTTTTGGCATGTATAAGAGAGTGCTCTTGTTCTCTTATACTCGTCTACATACTGGAGCGCAAATACACGAAAACAGTTAACCGTTATTTATAACTGAATCTAAATGTGTAGATAAATGCAAAACGCTATACATAACTGTTAAGAATTTAAATGTTTCTACTCACCTTACCTCTGTTCATTCGCAAATGCATAAGTGTATGCATGTCTACATACACACATACTTATATATTTACATCTATGCATATGTATATGCATGTGCATTTCATACATACATACATACTTATGCATGCATATGTGTGCATGAATTAACTTGTTTTTTTTCGTTCTTCGATCATTGCATTACAAGAATATATTTCACCATTTAATTGCTCGCTTTGAAGCTACAGGAACTATTTTGCACTTTGTTAACACTTCAATCACAAAAATCTTCACCAAAAAAAATAAAATTGAAAATAAGAAACCGGCAACTCTTAGCGCCATTTTATGCAAATCGTTTCGGCTTTTTTACATCAAGCGCACCTTTATACTTCCACTCATATATACATATATACATGCGAATCGCTTCTTTCTACACGCTACAGCGACAGCAATGGGTTTGCACTTCAAATTTTCACTTATTAAACACTTTTTATATAACTTTTCACATTTTCATTTAGCATCGTTAATTTCACCAACTTTTATAAAACAGCGCTGCCTGACAATCGAAATCGCTAAAATCGTTGGAATAATTGGCAACTCTAATCGATTTCACATTAGATACTTTATGACAATCTCATCGATTATCATGTCAAAAAGTATCGATATCTATGCGGATAAATAACACAAATTGGATTTGTGGCTTGTCTGACAACTAATAAACCCTATTAAGCGCTTCGAACAGGGTATAACAACAACAAGCAAAGGTGCCCACAGCCCAGTCAATTGGCTGGCTGCTGCATTTGGCGCTGGCATTTGACGAGCCGCGTTCCTTTTTGCTTTGATTTTATTCAAGCAATACATACGTCCAACATGAAGCCGAGATTTTTCACAAGAAATTATCCATGTGCAGGCGAATAAGGCGAAAACAGGCGCTGGCGCAGGCGCAGAGACAGAGGCAGGCGCTGGCTCATGTTTTGTCAACTGACGTTCGCGTGACAGCAGCGGCAGCGGCAACATCTGGACATTGCATTGACTTTGACCAGTTACCAATTTTGGCAACCAGACTTTCATTTATTGTTATTCGCCAGTTATTGCTGATTGTTCGCAACAAAGCAAAGGGTATCCCAAAGCAGTCCTTGGGTGCTGCTCTCCTCTCCCCGAAATCGAGTCGAGTTCAGTTGAAGAGCTGCCTGCAATTAGTAGTTAATAATAACTATATATTCTTTAAATTATATATAAATAACTGCTCTGATTTGAATAATATTATTTGCAAAAAACATGCAATTACTCACATGATTACTGAAACGCTTCAAGAAAATAATCTGCTAAAATTAATTTATTTTAGAGAAAAAGAAAACCTATAAAACTAAAAATTCCGTTTTCGAAATTCAGGATCAAAAATTCTTAGGCAGCAGCTGTAAACTATGAATCTGATAAGATATATAGCAAGAATTCTGATGGTTAAATTGAAACACCTAAAAGTAGGCTACAAAAATAATAATTAAAGAAATTAAATTGAAATTGTTCGTGGACATACCTTTGCCTGAAATACGGTTTGTTTGTCAGCATACTTTGTCATTTAATTTTAATCAAAATACAAATTATTTGTTTTCAATTCATAAATATATGTTTTCAGTTTTTTAAGGCGATATGCATGATTTGGTCTTCCGATAACAATAAGAGCAGCCCTGATAATTTTGCTACAGCATCAACACATCTCTGTGTTATCGATGTATCGATAAGGCAATAAACATATTCTAGGGGCCGGCGATAACCGCCTGGTGCAATTTCGTGAATTTTTTTATAATTTCAACAATTGTTATGGACCTAACGCTGAACGATGGCAGCAAGCCTCAGACGCCGCCCAATCAGCATCCATTGGTAAGCCGAGAATATACCCTAACCCTGGCAACGACTGTGACTGTGAATGCTCTTTCCAGGCGGATTACCACTTCAGTCCGGAGGAGCTGAAGGCGTTACGTGAATGCAATCAGGAATCGTTTGTGCAGCGTTCGCTGCCCTTTGGCACTGGCCTTGGGCTGCTGGCCTATTTTGGCGTTAAGAACGGCTATCTGCAGGGCAATGGCAAGTACGGAGCCGTGCCCAAGGTTATAATGGGCGTCATCCTGGGCTATTTTGTGGGCAAATTCAGTTACCAGCAGAAATGCGCTGAGAAAATAATGCGTTTGCCCAACTCACGGCTGGGCGAACTGTTGCGACAACGGCGACAAGGCGGCGGTGTCATTAGCACCATAACGCCGGATGAAAATCTGGGGCGTGCGTTTACCCTGGCGCCGTTTACGCCCAGCTCGGCGGATGTGTACACCGATGAGGGCTATCAGCCGTCGCGGAATACGGCACTCAATCTGGACACGGACTCGCGACCGAATCTCTCCGGACTGGATGATATATACAGGCCCACGCTGGACTGTGCGTTTGGAAAGAAATGTATTTTGCTTAAATTATATAATTGAATGTTGTTTCTGTTTTCAGCAGCAGCCAGCACATTGGTGGACACGGAACTGCCGCTAGAGCCAGCCAAGCCCGGCGAGAGCTACGAGGACTTGCGCAAAAAGAATCGCGAGGAATACGCAAAGCATCAGCAAAGCGCCTACTCCAGGCCCTACGAGGCGCCCATCCAGCCGCAGCAGCAGCAGCAGCGTCCCATGGCGCCGACTCAGGAACAGGTCGCCACTCCGGGTAGAAAGAACAAATACGGCGATTCCTGGACAGATTAGAAAGAGTTCGTGCTTATAAATGCAATTGTTAGTTTATTCGCTTGCTTAAATACAAAGCGCATATATAAAAGTTAAAAAGATTATATAATATGCATATATGTTTAGAATTTAATTTTCATTTATAATATTCGTATAAGCGCACATTTGTGATGTTGCATCGTGATGTCGTGAATTGGATTCGATCCCAGTTAAAATCGTTCGTCTTTACAACTTGCCCACCTCGTGCAAGTAGGCGCCCAGCAGCTTGGTCTGCAAATGGAACGCAAATTAATGTCGAATAGGAAAGAGTATATATATCTATATATAAAACCTACGCCTTCAATATAGTTGTAGATGTCGATCTTCTCGTTTTGCGAGTGTGCCCCATCATCGCAGGCGCCGACAGGCACCAGGATCACATTCTTGCCGGTGGCCTCCTGCAGGGTCAGTGTAACTGGTATGGAGCCGCCCTCGCGCGTCATATCGGGCTCCACATTGAAGACATGCTTAATGGCACGCTTGGCGGCCTCATAATGCGGATGATTGGGATCCTCGGTCCAGGGTTTGCCAGCGGAAAGCATCACCACCTGCGACGAAGATGAGGAGAACATTAGCTATAACCTAGAGCAGACCCGATTCGTAATTTGTCGCTAGCTAAATATATTCTCGGATCTGTGGAATTCAATATGTGCATTCAAATCACCTTCAGCTTGTTGGGCGAGCCACGCTCGGCCCATTTGTCATTGATATACTTGACAACGCACTCCTCGATGTGCTTGGGATCCTGATCGGGCACCAGGCGTATGGAGAACTTGCCGATGACTTTCTTTGGTATGACAGTCTTTGCGCCGGGCTCATAGAAGGCGCCCTCAATGCCATGTATGGAGAGACTGGGATAGCGCCATCTGGCCTGGAGCAGGCGGGTCTTGTTGCCATTGTGGGGCAGGTGTTCGACGCCAACGTCTTTTCTATGAGAGCGAGGCAGATTAAGTAATATAGAGCCTGTAATTTATGATGCCAGCCGAGATTAGATTAGGTAACTAACTTGTACTCGGCCACTTCAAAGTCGATATTCTTGTAGATTTCCTCCTCGTTCGGCAATTGCGGAGCCACCTTAAAAAAACAAAACAAGTACTTAGCAACAATTGAGTCTTGGGCATGGCTGTGAGCTCCACTCACATCACGATCCACGCCAGGTATCAATATCTTTGTATCCTTGTCCACCAGGGTGCTGAGCAGATAGCAAAGATCGGGCATGGCCTCGTGCACGGTGCCGCCAAAGACGCCGCTGTGCAGATCCTTTGAGGCGCACTCGACCTCCACCTGGAAATAGGCGAGGCCACGCAGGCCGTAGGTCAGGCAGGGACGCTTCTTGCCCAGCCAATAGTTGTCCGAGATGCACACATAGTCAACATCGGCAAGGAAATCATTTTTGCGCGCCATCAACAGCTCGTCAAGGCCCTCGCTGCCGCTCTCCTCCATGCCCTCGAACACAAACTTCAGATTAAGGGGCAGCGGGATGTTCAGCTTCTGATACGCCTCGATGGCATGAATCCAGCACAGGACGGGTCCCTTATCGTCCGTGGCGCCGCGTCCAAAGAGCTTGCCATCGATTTCGGTTAGCTCGAAGGGATTCGTATCCCAGCCGTCCTCCTTGAGGGCGGGCTGCACATCCAAGTGACCGTAGACCAGCACCGTTTTCTTGCTCTTATCCTTGCCCAGTGTGCCCAGCAGAGCCTTCGGCAGTGGTATCTCCTCGCCCGTGGGCAGCTTTTGTTTGCCCAAATCGACCAGCTCGATTTCGGTGCCCAGCGCCTTCAGCTTATCGGCCGTCCAGTTGACCATGCGGTCGATCTCACCGCGCTTCTCCGGCCACGCGGACACCGATTGGATGGCCACAGCGGTTCTCAGAGTCTCAATGTAATCGGCCTTCTTGCTATTCACAAACCTGCAAGCGATAAACTAGATTAGACTTGGGTTTCTACAGATATTCATGTCGTGTGAAATGTGCTGATAATATATTCTATGGTTAAGTCTGCGGTTAGAAAATGTTGATAATCGGCGTAAGCTGAAAATCTTATCAGAAAAAGTCGTATGCATTATAGAAGGCACAGTTGAAAAACTGTGAGAAAAGCTTTCCTATATCATTATTTGTCTATATAACACAATAATTATAATTACTTTCTGATTCCAAGTTTTGGGTTTTATTAAATTAATACTAAGCTAGGACACAGGGAATTTATGGATCTTCTGGTAATCTGCGATCTTATCAGAAAAATTCCTATTAATTTTTGAATTAAAATCTTAATTTAAAAAAAACGCCTGAAAAAGCTTTTAATACATAAATTTATATTTATGAAACTATAATTTGGATTATTTTCTCAGCCACGTCGGACTGTGGGAATTTACAGATCTTCTGGTAAATCGACAGTATGAAAACTTTTTCAATTTTTACGATTAAAGGAAATTAATTCTTTTAAATATTGCAATTTCCCAAACAAAATATATATAGCCATTTTCATAATGTCTTAATATAAAATTCGTGAAAATGAAGAAATTTCAAATATATCAGGAATATATTAAATACACTATATATTCATTATTCGGCGGGATTTTGAGTTCTTTGAATTTCTAATATATGAGCTATCATTTAATAATTTTTTACTTTTATTTTACGCTTCACAAGTATAATATATTTAATATTTAAAGAATGAATATAATTATAAAAATGATGAAGGTAATATAATAACTTGATAGATCATAGCAAGGATTTTAATAATAAGAATCATAAATTTATATTTAATATAGAATATAATATTATATTCTGAATAACCGCTCTAAACTTTCCATACCAAGTATATATTAAAAGGTATTTGGTCTTCGGCGTGCCGAACAAGCTTTTAAATCAGATTTATCTTGTTGGGACATTTCTGATTGGACAAATCAATCGCAGACGCATATTCTACTTAATGCGAAATCATCCGCGGCATTTGAATACGTGCATTTTTATATGGCAATGCAGCGCACAGTTTCGTGCAGTTTATTAAGTTGCAATATTCAAATCAAATTATGGACGTGCACTTTCATTTTTTGAATTTCTTCGACTTGACATTTGGCAAAAATTAAAAAAAAAACTCTTATCGGCAACAGTTGCTACCGCCCTTATTATCAAGCATAAAGTACAAGAGTACGACAAAAGCCATAAACAAACAGATAAGCAGGATATACATATACACAAGCATATATGGATGCATGTCTGTATGTATGTTTATGCAGCCGTGGCATCGTCATCTCGCATCCATAACCCAACACTCACACACACACACATACATATATAGATAGCGGCTTTTTTTCCTTATACTTACTCGAATAGCTGTTTCATTTCACTGGGTAGCTCCGCCATTTTATCAAGTTTTCTTAGAGTGCAACAATATAAATTATTAGCAATTCCTACAGGCTTAATTGATCTGCACCGGAATTTCAAACGTCTTTCCGTTTCGGCTTCTAAAGTGCGAATGAATAGCGAACGTGAAGTGCGAAAGAAAGAAAACTTACGTACATACATTGTTTGTACGTATGTATGTATATGTACGTAGGCTATACGTTGAGAGAGAGAGAGAGTATGAGTAGCCTGCTGAGTGTCAACAAGTTTGGCGAGTAAACAAGTGCATGTCAACTTGCCGGCTTTTTTATTGCACTTTGTAAAAACTAAATTTCAATTGTGCACAATTATTATTATTATTTACACCAAAATCTGGCATTTTACTCTTGATATCATTATAAATATAAGCATTTTTTTATAATTTACAATTAAGGGCAACCCTAGCAATATTTCGTTTTACGCGGTATCGATACCTAAAATACTCGTGCCATACCTAAGCGATCATAGATCGCCCGACCGCCACAATCTATCGTTTATCGGCCGTCATTTGCCGCAGTTAAGATAAAAACGCAAACGCTGCAACAGTCAAGGCATTCGCGAGTTAATTGCATTTAAAATTATGTCACAAAGCTGATAAACGCTTCAATAATCAAACGCAACAGCAACTGCTAGACGAAAGGAGCGCCAGAGGTGTGTGGGTGTTGCTTGTTTATTAATTATTGTGTCCATGTGTGCGTGTACCGTTTTCAGTACGTACGTGAGCTGCAGTGCTGTCATCCTTGTGTATGTGTGACGTTTGCATTTGTCAAGTTCTGTGTGTTCAGCGTGCAAGCGTCTCTATCAGCAAAGTATTTGTGCTAAAATTTGCATAATTTCTGCGTGCCGATGGTATTTTTTTACTTAAAGGACTTGTCCTTTTTTGTGTCAGGCATTTGGGCGACCTCGTTGTTTGCGTTTTGTAAACTCATTATAATAAATTTCAGCGACTAAAATAGAACATATTGCGTGCCGCTGCGGTTGTAGCTGCGGCTGTGGCTGTTGACTCCAAATACCAGCGACCGCTGCAGGCGCTGCCGCTGCCGCTGCCGAGCGGCATAGTCATGTTTTTCTGTGACTGTGACTTCTTGCCGTTTAACGTGTCGCTCGGTTTCGCTTTGCTCCCCTTTTGGTGTCTCTGCGCCCGGATTATAAATAGTTGGCGTTTTTGTTGCTGCTGCGCCGGAGTTGGGTGCCTGGGGCGCTGCTGCTGCTGTTGCTGCCAATTATTTGTTTGTGTAATTAGTTCCAAGCTGTGTCATATTATGGGAATTAGACGTAGAAAAAGAACAAACTGTGTTCAAGATGAACAACAACAGCAACAGCGACAACAACAAAAACACGTTAAACAACGGCGAAAAGTTAGCAAAGCGGAACTGGAAATGTAGACGTCAGTCGGTGCCGTTAGAGCTGCTCCCAGCTCTTAAGCTGCCGACTGAGCAGCAACAACAAATATGGCGCAGACAAGACCAAAGAAGAGCGACAATAGAAGAAGAAGAAAAAAAAACACCAAGTAAAACATTTATGCCGAAGCTGAAATACCCTTGCAAACGACTTATTGATTCACTGTGCGACATATGATATTTTAATACATGTGCTACATGGCAAATACGCGGATCTATTACAAGTTTCAATGCATATATATATATACACAAACAAACACTTAATCTGCTTGGAGATGTCTCCTCTGGGCGTTACACATGTTTTGACAAAGTAATATTACCTTCTGCTAGGGTATGATAAAACCAATCTCCAATCTCCAATAGCGCGCAGCTCAAAAGCTTTGCGTTGTGGCTGCTGCGCAGCGCTTGCTGTTGTCATTTATTCGCCGTCTGCTTTGGCAGACATTTTTGCAGCGCCACCCACCCGCGCGCGCGCGCGCATTACTGCACAGTTATTTATTTGTCGCCTTGGCTCTGTCCAAAACGGGCGAACGATCTGCACTCGCATTTTCGCCCCTTCGCCGCAGTTTCCGCTTTGCATAAAAGGCAAAAATATTATAAAAAGCCATCGCCCATTTGGTTTGTTTGCTCAGTTGTTTTGTTGTTATTTCTTTTTTTTTTTTTTGTTTCTTTTGCTTTTTCACGATTACAAATCACTGCATTTCTCTTTTGCACGCCATTCCAAGCACACAAACAAATCTAGCTCAGTGGGCGTTCATTTAAAGCGCATTAACCGAGCTTGGAGCCTGGTAGTCGAACTGGCTAATGTATTGGTTTAGTTTTTGTTGTTTTATGTCGAATTTGAACTCGTTTTGATTAACAGAAAACATAGACAAATTAATAGAGAAGTGCACAAAAAAATAGAAAAAAACCAAAAAAAAACAAAAGAAAAAACACAAAAATACTTTCAAATAATTCGTCTCTAGCAGCCGAAAGCTCTTCCCATGGATCGCAGCTTGGATTCCATTGGCAGCTGTTCATTAGATGTTGATGCCGATTCATCCGACATATCAGGTATATCATTCACACACACACACACACACACATGCACGCGCACCTAACCTCAATGTTATTGTGAGCTATCTTATTGGATTTTGTTCGTTTTCGTTTCTTATTCGATTTCTTTTTTGTTTATTATTATATTTATTTTCTTTTGTTTATTGTTTTTGTTAATTTGCATTTAACACACATTTTGCGTGCTCAACTCTTGCAGACACGAGCGGCAGCTTAAACTTTCCAACGCCCCTCTCCGTGAAGGACATAACGCGCGAATTTACGGCCAACATTAAGGAACGGTGCACTCTGCGCTCCCCGCAGCAGCCGCAGCCACAGCCACAGCGTACGCTAACCACAAACTCCTACGTCAATCTGGATCAGCGCACGGGCGGTGTGCGCATGGTGCTGTCACCGCCGGACCTAGTCGATGACTCGCAGCAGCCCCACAACAATAGCAGCGGCAGCGGCGGCAGTAGCGGCGGCAACGGCAGCCTTGTCCTCGTCGATGCGGGAGAGAAGAAGCCCAGCTATTTGAATTTGGCCTGCTGCGTCAACGGCTACTCGAACCTGACCACCTACGACTCAAAGATCCGGCAGGACATCAACAAATCGCGCGAAGTATCGCCCATACGACCCTCCACCAGCAGTCTGCAGTATTGCAAGCGCAACAATTCGCTGGCGGCCCCGGTGCTACACACAATGCCGCTCACCCAGCAGCCCGTCAAGGTCAACCAGAAGGCCAACAAGTACACAATGATCATCAACGAGACGAACAATAACAACAACAACACTAGCAAAAACGGACATCTGGAGAACGGAGATGGACACGGATATTGCAATGGTGGCAGCGCTGCGAACAAATCTCTCTCTCTGGGTGCTGCAACAACGACAACCGGCAGCTTTATACAGCAGCGCGTCGAGCGTCTGTACGGGCCGGGCGCACTTGCTCAGGGCTTTTACAGTCCCAAAAAGCACAGTTCGTCGCCTGTTGGACGACAGCAGCAACTGCAGCAGCAGCAACAGCAGCAGCAGCTGCAACAATCTCAGCAGGAGTCACCGCAAATCACGGAGCTGTCGCGTAAGTTTAAGCAGCTCTCGCCCAGCAAGGATTACGGCGAGTTTCGCAGGAAGCTGCAAACGAATTGCACACAAGCGGCCACGGCGCGTTCGCAATCTGAACAGCCGGCGGCCACACACAACGGCGATGTGGACTTGCCCGTCTTTAGGCATTTGAGCCATGAATTTCGTGCACAGCTGCCCACGGTGTCGCCCAAGCGCAATGTGCAGCGCATTTCTCCGGCGCCTGAGCTGGTGGTGCCGCCGCCGCCCAGCAGCAACGGGCTGCAGCTGGCTGCGGATGTGGTGGACCATGAGCCCATACGCACCGAGGAGGAGTACTTGGGCACCACCAAAATCTCGGCGCCCGCCGAGCTGGCTGCTGTCAAGGCCGTACCAGAAGCCAAGGAGACGGCGGCGGTCAAGGATGGCAACTATTTCCTGAAAATACTGAAAGACGAACAGGTTCGTCTGCTCGCGCTGGCCGCCGTAGCTGAGAAGTATATCGATGCCTTGACTGTGAGTAGATTCTACGAAGGCTTCCTTTAAAAAGTATTTGATTTGCCTTATTTGACACTCTTGCAGAACAATCCTGATATCACGGAGGACACTTTCGGACTGCTGCGTGCGGCCTCGGGCAAGGCGCGTCTGCTTGCCACACAGAAAATGAAACAGTTCGAGGGTCTGTACCTAACTTTAATTAGTTATATATTTATATATATAAATATTTGTCCCCTTGCAGGTCTTTGTCACAACAATTTGAATCGGTCGCCGGAGGATGCGTTTCCCACCACCCTCGATGATTTGCAGGGCTTCTGGGATATGGTTTATTTGCAGGTGACGCATGTCGATACCATATTCGAGGATATTGAGCAATTAAAGCGCAGCGATTGGCAGGTGAGTCATTTATTTATCACATCTGAAGCTGTTACAAGCCAGGTTTATAATTGTATTGCAGCGCGCTATTGATCCCAAGTCAGAGCTGGCGCCCATTAAGACAACAACAAAACCAACTGCAAAGACTGGCAATCAGAAAGCGAAAACAACTGGTGGCGGTGCGTCGAATGCGGTGGCAGCCATGAAGCGGGAGGCGCAGCGTAAACAATTGCTGGAAATGAAGCGTCAGCGTCGCGAGGCTTTGGCCGCCGCTGCCAAAAATCAAACGGCCTGTGATGATATTGTGTCAGATACAGTAAACATTGCCGTGAAGAACAGCAGCTGAATTTTGCTGAATAGCATTTGCAATACGTGCATACAACAACAACAACAACAACATGCTCTCTAGTTATATACATATATATTAAATTAACTCACACACACACACACACGTAGCACACTCATGCACACTCGACAAAATACTTAGAAATTCCTAGTTGAATTAATCCTTAACTAGTCCCAACTAAAAATGATATCTATATGCGCGCGGTGTGAAGCTTTTAAAACATATTGCATAATTAAATTGGAATTGTGTCACAAGTTGTCACAACAACAATAACAAACATTATCAGCTTGCGCCCCATCAATACTACTATATACAAAAAAAAGAAAAAAAAAAAGCAAAATAAACTAAACAAATCTAACAAAAACAAACAAATCTACACAACACACATGAATATTATAAAGAGTTATCAACGTTAACGGCTCGTCGTAATTGTTTATAAAGTTTGCCTTATCTACGTGTTTTTTGCTCGTTAAATCATTTTGCTGTGCACCCAAAAACAACAAAAAAAAACAACAAACAAAACGAAACAAACCAGAAACGAGAGTTTGTAGTTTTTTAACCGTGCGTTTTATTACAAAACTCATGCAACATTTAAAAAAGACATTTATTTTTGTGTAATTGTATTAGCGACCTAAGTGCAACAAACAAACAAACAAACAAAAACCCACAAATATAAATCAAATTAATATTTTAACGCGACGTAAATGAATCTAAATTTTATATAAATATATATGTTTTTTCGGCCCATTAGCTGCATGTATTGAGATTTGTTAATTTGTAAGGAAGAAACAACAAACAAACACACACATACAGAAAAGAAAACAATCTCACTCTTAATTAATTTATAATGTTTTGTAATAAATTATTTTTCACTTAACTGGACTTTTTGCAATTGGTTGTATTTAAATGTTAAGAGGTCAAAATGCTTTTAGAAAGATTATATGAAGTTAATCCCTTCTGTTAAAACCTAAGTAGTTAGTCTAAGAAAATGTTGTGCTAAACAGTCTTTAGTTTAGTTAAGGCCCAATTAGCTAGCTAAGTCGCTTGATTAAGTCAGAAACTAGCAAATGTCTGTTTGTTTTTTTATACGAATCTTTAATCTAGGCACATCGTCAAAAGATAGTCTCCATAGTTTATTGAGTCCCACGAACTCTTGAAATTCCCAGACAAACTGAGCTGAGCTCTTTTGCTAGCTTCAGCTTGAATTGAATAATTGGCTTAAATCAATGCGCGTTAATTCACAAATAATTTTTGTTTTTTAATCATTTTTATTTGGCTTCTATGGTACGACTTATGTTTAAACTATTTGTAAGTACAAATTTGTGTTATTCACTTTGCTTCAATTGCATTGCCATTGCTCATCTTGACTTGAATAATTATCAAGTTCCTTTTTCACGAAGCAAGTAAATATCCGTAATACTACGACAGATATATATATATATTTATATATATATATATATAATTAAGTTTTGCACGTTAGGTTACTATAAAAAAATATATTTCAATTTATTATTTTCACTTAACGGCTACTTTTGTTGAGTACATTCAGATTTGCTTCCCGAATATGAACTGATTTATCTAACTGTTGCGGTCGCTTAGCAAACTTCGCTTTGAGAGAGTTTGAGTCAAAATTGAGTGAAGTTTGAGCTGCGTCAGCAATTATGCGTGGGATAGTACTCTGATGGGAACATTGACAGTGGCGTGATATTTAGGGTGAATTGTTTATGTCTACCAAAGGGGGACAGTTTGATCTTGACCAATGTCGATGTTATCACCAGGCTCTTTGTTTACAATATTAGAAATGTTTATAATTGTGCTTATGCTTATGTGCTGAGTTATGTTAAAGGGTGGGTGCGACTATGGATATGTCACTCCCCCAACCATTAGAAAAGTGCCTGTCCTCAGGTGTTTAAGTTTGGATATAGTGTAACATTTTCTTCTTTTAGAATTGGTATATCTCCTATTATTGTAGGTGTTTCTTCTACTTTGGGTTTTTTATATTTTATAATTAATTTCTTAGGTATGCTTTTGAACTTATATGTCAAATACAGTGTTAAACTTATTAATATGATTACAAATATGGTTATTGTAATTATCTGGAATACATTGTTAAATTTTGTATGTGCATTTATAATTTGTTTCGTTTGTACAAACGAAAGTGGTTCTAATTTTATAACATCATTGCTTACGTAAATGCTTTGAGTATAATCTAACATATTGTTTGAAATTGAAATTTCATTAATTTGCAATGAACAATTAAAGATTTTTATTATATTGTTTCCTTCTATTGTTATTTCGTTATTTATACAATTATGGTTTAATATAGTTTTTGGTAAATTCCAAGTTAAAATTATATTTGGTTCTATGTAGTTGATTTGAAAATTTTGCAAAATTTTAGTATAACTACATTCTGATGTTATTTGGTTTAAAATTCCTGTTAAACATTCATTATTAATTAATTTTTTTGTTTCTCTGCTATAAACTTTTTTATCTTGGGTAAAATATTTTTCATGAGCTATTTCTGTCAAAATATTATTATTTTCATCCGGGTATGGAATTATTTCGAATACCGGGCTTTTTATTATTTCTCGAGGAATATGGGATATTATCAGTATTTCGTTTGTATCTGATTTAAACCAAGTGGAAGTTTTTGTATTCAACAATTTCTCAGAATTAACATGCAACAAATAGTCATGTTTTAGTAATTTTGGGTTAAAAATTCCTAATCTTGTGAGCTGCATTCCCATCTCAATGTCTTCTATATATTCTGTAAAGTGTTGTAAGTTAAATATAAGGATATCTAATTTCTTTCCTTTTTGTTTCTCTTGATCTAGTTCGTTCATGATTTCTATTCCTTTGTTTATAGCTTCTATTATGTAATTTAATTCGTTAACCTGAACGCTGTTTTCTGCTAAGTTGCTTATTTTTAAGCCGTTTATTTCTCTGTTTAATTTCTCTACTAGGTATTCGATTTGTATAAGGTTATTGAATTCTTTACTTTGTTCAATTAAATTGTTAAAAGTTTCTTCGGTTTTTGTTATATTAACCGTTAAACAGTGGAATTCGTAATCTGTCGGAATGTCTATGGTTCCTGTTTTAAATATGAGATATCCGTTATGGGCTTTGATAGGATTAATTTCAATACTCTGTGCATTTATATGGTTTACAGTTATTGATAGTAATATTATAATAATTAATTTAAGCTGGTGCTTGTATGTTTTGATCGCTGTCTGTTGTTGACCTGTAATTGTTATATTTGCTTTGATTAGTCTTCTTTTTCTTTTTGAATTTGGTTTTGTAATGTGTTATTTTCCTGCCTCTGTTAGTTTCCTCAAAATGTTTGTCGTCGATTTGTCTTAGTTCTCCTGTTTTCTTGAACGGGGTTGTCGTCTTTGATTTAACTAACGGTGAGTGTTTGTATCTAGTGTCAATTTCATAATTTGTTCGTTTTTTGTTGAGGTTATTTATTAGTTTTTCTTTATTAGCTTGAGTGTCATACTCTGGTGTACCTGCATATATGAATATGTCCGCTGGTGTTCTGTTAGTCGTTTTGTGCTTTGTTTTATGATTGTACGTGTAGAGTATAGTTTCAAATTTTGTAAGTTTATTTTCGACGTCTGAGTCGCTGTTAATGATTCTTAGTTTTTCGTTAACTGTCTTATGAAATCGTTCTACGTCGGATATACCATTTTTACTAGTGGTTATATTAATATTTACTGCTTCTGATTTTAGCCATAATTGTAAAGCTGTACACATAAAAGCTGAGTCTTTGTCTGCCTTTATTTCGATGGGCTTACCCATTTGGTTGAACACTTGTAATATAGCTCGTTTGGTTTCTAGCCAGTCTTTACTTTTTATATCTAATAATGATGCAAATTTTGAATAGATATCAATGCAAGATAAAAATTGTTTATCTCCTGCTATGTAAAAATCCATTACATATTTTTCTCGGATATTAGCGATTTCTGGAGTTATTTCGAAAGTTAATTTTGTATCTCTGTGTTCTGTTTTTGCGATGTTGCAAATCTCACATTCATTTATTAGATTTTGAATTAAATTTTGATAATCTGGGAAATAGTGGGTTGCTTTGAACCAATTAATAGTTTTTTCAATTCCTGGATGTAATAATTCTTTGTGCTTTTTTAATATTAATTCTTTGAATTCTGCGTATGTTTGAAGGTCTATTAATTTTGTACTAGTTTTCATTGCCTTTGTTGAATTATTTGGACTTATTATTTCTAAGTAGGCTTCTTGAAAAATTGGAAAATCTGCTTCGTTGTGGAAGTATAGCACACTTTTCTTTGTGCATAAGTATTCTGTTATTAATTCTTTGGCATGCGTATTAGTCATGTCTTTGTACGTAATTTTTATGTTGGTTTTGTGAAAGTAATTCGTAACTTTTGTTTCGTTCTCGGTTCCTTTTTCAAATTCTATTTGTCGATTATAATAATTAAGTGGTCTTTCTGTGATTTGTAAATGGTTACTGTTGTCTTCTTGAGCACTATGTATTGTTGCTCTTGTGCTAATTGTATCTTCGCCTAAGAAGTTTTCGTTTAATTGAATTCTGGACAGAGCATCTGCCACATAATTTTCTTTTCCTGGGACGTATTTAATTTGGAAATCAAACTCATTTAGCTTGATCTTCCACCTTTGTAATTTCATGTTAGGTTCTTTCATATTATTTAACCAGACGAGTGGTCTGTGATCACTAAGGATTTGAAATTGTCGACCAAAGAGATAGGACCTAAAGTATTTAGTGGCCCAAACGATTGCTAATAATTCTTTTTCAATCGTTGAATAATTTAACTCATGCTCGTTGAGAGTTCTACTTGCATAGCATATAGGCTTATGCTCTTGCGAAAGGACGGCCCCTATTGCCATATTACTCGCGTCTGTAGTTAATGAAAATGGTTTTTCGAAGTTAGGGTATATTAAAATTGGGTCGGATGTTATGAGTACTTTTAGCTTTTCAAACGCTAGTTCGTAGTCTCTGTCTTTTATATTGATTTTTGCTCCCTTTTTTAATTTAAGTGTTAATGGTTTTACTATATTAGCGAAATTTGGTATAAATTTCCTATAGAAACCACATAATCCTAGAAATGATTTAATTTCTTTTGGGGTTTTTGGAATTGGGAATTTGACAATTGCTTGTATCTTGTTGGGATTTGGTTTTATACCCTCAGTTGTGATGATGTGACCGAGAAATTCAGTTTCTTTTCTCATAAACTCGCATTTATCCAACTGTAGTTTTAAGTTAGCTTCTCTAAGCTTCTTAAATACCTTTTGTAGCGACAAAATGTGTTCCTCCAATGAAGTGGAAAAAATAATAATGTCGTCTAAGTAGACCAGACAATCTTTAAAAATTAAATCTTCTAAGAGATTGTTCATACAACGTTGGAACGTTGCAGGTGCATTCTTAAGACCAAATGGCATGCGAGTGTACTCGTAATGGCCATGTTTAGTCGAAAATGCGGTCTTGGGTATTGAACCAGGATCCATTTGGATTTGGTGAAAGCCTTTGGCTAGATCAATGGTTGTGAAATATTGACATTTTCCAAGTTTGTCTAATATTTCATCCATGATCGGGATAGGGTATTTATCATTAATAGTTAGTTCATTGAGATTGCGGTAATCTATGACTAACCGGAACTTTTGCTTTCCAGATGCATCGTTTTTCTTTGGAACGATTATTACTGGTGAGCAGTAAGGGGATTTGGATTTACGTATGATATTTTGTTTTATCATATCGCTTATTTGTTTATTTACTTCCTCATCGTATATTTGAGGATATTTGTATGGACGCTTGTAAATTGGGTCCTCATGTTTTGTTAGAATTTTGTGTTTAATTGTACTAGTGAAAGTCAAATTGTCACCTTCATGGTACTGGATATCACGAAATTCATGTAAAACTTTTTTTATTTTTTCTTTTTCTTCTGAGTTTAGGTGCTCTAGCCTAAACTCATTGTTTTCTATTAATTCATTATTAATAGCGAAGTTAAATGGTCTGTCCTCTGTTGAGGGTGGATCAAGGCACTCTTGTGCGGTCATGTCCTCTTCGACCTCTTCGTCGTTATATCTAAAACAAAAGTTAAATTCTCCTAAGGTTACGGATCCTTGTGCATAGTCTATTTTTGCTTGACATGCCTCAAGGTATTCTCTCCCAATCAGAACATCATAATGCTCTGAGAAGTCGTGAATATAGAATTTTTGTTTGCTCGGACAAATTTTGCTTGCTCCTAAGCGTATACTTTGTTTTAATTCAATAACACCATTTATGGTGTGAACCTTTAATGTTTCGTTGTAAACTGGAAAATTTAAGCGGTTTGTTTTCATTAGATTTATGGTTGAACCTGTGTCGATGACACATTTTAGAACTTCGTCATTCATAATCAATTTTATGAATGGATTTCTTCTGTTTGTTCCGAGGCTTGCTGATGAAAATTTTCGGATGTATCCATTTTCATCTGCCCACTGTTACTATCTCTTTGACGTTTAGTCGGAGGGTTTGGTGCATTCAAGCGTGAATGGGACTGATTTTGGTAGTTTAAGGGATTTTGGTATCTACCTTGACTTAATTTCTGTTGGAACTCGTGGTGAGCTTTCTGATTGTCTTCGGACTTATTATGCTGTTTATTTTGTGCGTGATAACTCTGATTCGTGTTGGAATAACCACTTGAAATGGTGGTTGGGTTAGCATTTTGCTGATAATTTCCCATGTTCCTACGATTGTTATTTGGATTTCCCTGAACATTATTATTTTTAGGTTTTTCAGTAACACTATTTTCATATAATCCCTCTCTTTGAGCTACTTGCTTTAGTTTTTGTGTCGACGTAATGTCGTGTCTGGCTAACATCATGAAAAGCCTATCTGGTAATTTTTTTGTAATAACATCTTTGATTGTGTTATTCATAGCATTTGTATAAAGGGTTGTATTGCTAGGTATATTTTCTAGTGCTAACTTATTTAATATAACAAAAGATTTATTCTCGAGCTCCTCGATGAACTTACGGACGTTTCCTTGGTAATTCGTGTTGTATAAGCGTCGAAGGAGTTCTTCAAATGGTGTCTGCACTTTGTATTCTTCAATTAATGCGTTTCTCAGCTCCTGCCAAGTGTTGGCTGCTGTCCTTTGTGATATTCTCTGAGCATCTCCTGTGACTTGCAATTCGATGGCTCCGTATAAGATGCTATGTTGTCTAACATCTCGGGTTGGATACAGGTGTAGGATGTAATCTATCCTTTTAATGAAGGCGTTTAGTTGATCCGTTGATCCGTCAAAGCTTGGCACCTGTCTAAGTTGTGAAAGGGCCTGGTTGAGGTGTTGTTCTGATAATTCCATTGTCATCTTGGTGTAATACACTTTTTTTTGAATAGTTTTGAGTTTGTAGGTTTGAACTTTATTGTTCTTTGATTTTGCACTTTTATTTTAGGTTAAAGTTTGTGATGGATTATTGGTTAAATGTTTTTTTTTTTTTTGTGTGTGTGTCTTAAAAAGACTCAGTAATAACGTATTGCAGGGATCAAACGATATGCAAAGCCAGTCGTTATTAACTGTAGTAGCTTTATTGCCCAAAGGGTCAATATTATTAAGCTACTAGTGACCCGAAGGTTCTTGTGCGGATACGTATTCGAGAAAATTTTTATTACACTCCGACAACACTTTCGGTCGCGATTGTGCGTTAGATCTGGGAATTAATTATCCTTTAGCGATCTTTAATTTTTCCCGACGTATCCTACCGGCTGCGCCAATTAAGTTTTGCACGTTAGGTTACTATAAAAAAATATATTTCAATTTATTATTTTCACTTAACGGCTACTTTTGTTGAGTACATTCAGATTTGCTTCCCGAATATGAACTGATTTATCTAACTGTTGCGGTCGCTTAGCAAACTTCGCTTTGAGAGAGTTTGAGTCAAAATTGAGTGAAGTTTGAGCTGCGTCAGCAATTATGCGTGGGATAGTACTCTGATGGGAACATTGACAGTGGCGTGATATTTAGGGTGAATTGTTTATGTCTACCAAAGGGGGACAGTTTGATCTTGACCAATGTCGATGTTATCACCAGGCTCTTTGTTTACAATATTAGAAATGTTTATAATTGTGCTTATGCTTATGTGCTGAGTTATGTTAAAGGGTGGGTGCGACTATGGATATGTCACTATATATAATATAGAGCGCTTCGTTAAACTAAATTCATCTCTAACTATGTAATTCGGGCAATAAATATTAAATTTATATATTAGATTTGTTTATTTAATGCGTATGCTAGATATATATCCATATGCCGGATGCATATCCATATCTGTATATAATATATATGTGTATATATATATAATAAGTATTAACAATATTCTGGTAAGCGCAATATAACTAAGGTTCTAGTACAATATTTACAAATGAACGTTAGAAATAGAAACAACATTTTGGGCCTGTTAATGTGTTAGATCTGAACTGAAAAGAGAACCTCGGCGTGACGAGATCTGGTCGGATGGAGATCCAGTCTCGAGGCGTTGTAGTCTGAAGTGTTGGGCTAGAGGCAGCTACAAAAATACTTAATGCAACCAGCTACAACATGAGGCAGCTCGTCTAACAACATTCTCTGCGCTCTCATACCCGGAACCCATTGAAATTGCCTAAAACGGGTATATTGGCTTTGTGCAAAGGTCTGTAACAGGCAGCAGGAAGCGTCTCCCAGCCCATTGGGTATATAAACTCTTGATTAGGATTAGGAGATGCTGCCTGAACGCATCGAACTCGGCAACTCCAGGAGCTGAAGACTTGCAATTTTAAATAAGGGTAGCTACAAGTTTTTGTTTGGCTAGTTTGTGCTAGTCGTGCACACCCGACTTTGCTGCCTATTTTTTTTTGAGTATTTGAGTACAAGTACAAGCTAATCGTCGCTGCCATTCAACAGGTCCGCCAACGACAGCAGCGCCGGCGAGCAGCGTCCATTGCCGCTCGACTGCAGCAGCTGAAGCTCAATTGCGTAGGCCGCAGCAGCAGCAGCAGCTGCAGCAGCAGCGGCAGCGGCGGCAGCAGCCGTATTGCTGGCGGCATTGTGTTGCTCCCTGTCCCTGAGCAGCTGTTAGTCGAGATTGTGCGGCGGCGTGCTGTTCGAGCCGCCCAGCATAAACGATGTGGGACTGTGCACCGAGATGCTGTCCAGATCCAGTTGGCCGTCGCCCTTCTCCAGCATGCCGCTGCCATCCTGTTTCATCATCATGCGACGCCATTTGGCGCGCGCATTCTGAAACCAAACCTGGACGGGAAATAGGAAAACATTTGTGAATCTCAGCAATTGGGTTAACCGTGCGCATCACTCACCTGTAGGACTCTCTTTGGTAAACCCGTTTTCTGTGACAATTGCTTCAGATCCTTGGCATCCGGATTGTGATTGATGGCAAAATAGGATTTCATGGTGCGCAGCTGATGATGCTTGAACGAGGTGCGCATGCGCTTGGTGCGCGACGAGGCGCTCATATGACTGCCACGCCCAAAGTCCACATATTCCGTATTGAGATCTGTAATGGGATGCATATGAATGAGTTCGAATTCTGGAAGAGATTAGGCAGCAACATTCGCCCTTTACTGGGGCTGCGATGCCTTTCCGACAAGTGCGCACTTTCCACTCGAAAGGGAAGTCTTACGATTTGGGCTTTGCCTTGCGGCAATGAGTACAAATTCTGGAAGAGATTGGGAAAGATTTGCCCTCTACTGCAGCTGCGATCCCTCTCCAGACAAGTGTCCACCAAAAGATGCACATAAATGTGTGCAAATTCTGGGAGGGATTAGGCAGCATGAGCCAGAGCTGCGATCCCTTCCCGATCCACACCACTTTCCACTCGAAAGGGAACCTGTCCGATAACCTGTCAGTTGGAACAAGTTCTCTTGGCTGTATACAATTGCTACAAGATGTTCTTGAGTTTTACAACTTTTGGGCCAGGTTTTACGATGGTTTTTATGCCCGGGGAACGGGTCGCACATAAAAAATAAAGGCCTGCACTGCACTGGCGCCAGGTCGGAGCCCAGGGGCCATAAAGACGCGGCTTTTATGGGCACTCTTGTGGTATTTACAACGCACCTATATTCGCTGTGAACGCCTCGATATCCTTGGGCTTGCGCTTGCGCGGCCTGCCCTTTTGGCGCGCCGGCTGCGGCAGTCCGGTGATGACATGCGATGTGGGCACAAAGATGCCCGTAGGAACAATACTGCGACTGGGATCCGAATGCGGACTCGACGAGTCATTGTGCGGCGAACCAAACTGTGTGCTATACGGATATGTGGCGCTCATGCTCGTCGACGAGGCGGCGTCGCCCTCCCGCGCTATGCTATAGTGAGTTCTGTAGAGGATTACGAACATTTCATTAGTCAAAGGGATTGATGATGGCGGTGGGGAAGGAGGAGGGAGAGGGTTAGCACTCACCTGCAGTAGATGAGCGCATCGATGATGCCGTACTGATCCCCCTTGGTGAGCGGCGTGTGGCAGACCGTGCAGCAGAAGCAGTTGACATGAAAAACCAGGTTGCGGGCGCGCATTACCAGCTCGTTGGAGCTAATCGACGCCAGGCAGCGGGAACAGCGGCGAGTACCAAAAAAACTGCAAGTATAGTGATAATAACAAATAGTATTATTAATTTTATAAGCAAAAAACTGCATCAAAATTCAACAGAGCCCAGCAAAACGAAATTCTAATTTGAATAGGAGCTTCGCGTAGATATCGATACTTTCTTTGGAAAGTAGTCGAAGACCGAGTAATTAAAGCAAGTTTTCTACACATTTAACTTTAATGCGAAAATACGCACTTACTTAAGCGATTTGCGAATTGAATAATTGATTACTTACGTCAATAATTTCATATATTTTACCCACAACGTATTTAATTTTATCATTTCATCGATATCAAATATCTGATTGGCGCCACAATTAGCAAAATGGCGCTAATAGTTGCCAATAAGTATTTTAATTGCTAATTGAGGCGACGATTGTACTCATTTCAACTATCAGGTAACGCTGTCTTGCAAGTGAACGCGGAAAGAAAAGTGTTGAGTGAAATGTGAAAAGTTATTTAAAACGCGTTAAGTGCAAAGTGCAAAGGGCAAAATAATTACTGCAGTTGCCGAGTGTGATAAAAATCTTCGTGCAGCGCAGTGAGCATTTAAGAGAGAGCACTGCAAATGGCGGATTTGGCACCAGAAGTGCGTAAAATTTTTTTTCTTAATTTTTTTGTTTGTGAATTGCTGTGCGAAATGAAAATGGTCAAGTGAAAATTAAAAAGGGTAAATAAATAGTGTTAGGTGCGCATAATAGAGAAAATTAAATATTATTTTCATAATTTTTTTACTATAAAAATTTCTGATTGGCGCCACAATTAGCAAAAAGGCGCCAATAGTTGCCAATAAGTTTTTTAATTGCTTATTGTGGCCACGATGACTTTGCTCATTTCAACTATCCGGTAGCGCTGCCTTGCAAGTGAACGCGGAAAGAAAAGTGCTGAGTGCAAAATGTGAAAAGTGATTTAAAATGTGTTAAATGCAAAGTTAAAAGTTAAAAGTGCAACATAATTGCTGCAGTGTGATCAATATCTTCTTGTAATGCAGTGAGAATATAAATTTCAAAATGTGCCAGAAGCCAAAGGTCGCAGCTGCGAAATTAGCAAATTTGGCGCTAAAAGTGCGTAATTTTGTTCTTCATTTTTTTTTGAGTGAAGCGCTGTGCTAAATGTAAGCGTCTTAGTGAAAAGATAAAAAGTGTAGTAACAAGTGCGCATAACAAAAGTGTAAATTGCAATAATGCATATAATGGGTGCCAAGCGACGACGGCATATGCGTATTCGCTTGAGGGCAATTAATTGATCATTGGGTAAGTGAGACCTTAAATATTTCTAGTATTTAATGTGCCCAAACATATATTTTGTTGTTGCCCTTTTACATATGTAAATATACCGAAATCACACAATTGAAGCATTTTTGGCAAACAAAAGGGAATTATGTGTGTAGTATTAAAAGTAACGGTTAACTGGCTATGCCTGTGTGTGTACGCTAGGCAGTATAAGAAGAAACAAAAGTGTATAAGTACGCTCTTATACATACATACATTGCTTTGTGATATTTCCGCCGCGCTGTTTAACGTGCAATATACATACATATATAATGTATGTATGTGTGTCTATCATTAGAAATAACTGTTAACTGAAAATGCCTCTGTGTGCGCTAGGCAGTATAAGAAGAAATACATTTGTGATATTTCCGCCTCGCTCTTTAATGCGGATGTAGAATATATGTAAGTACTTACACGCATAAGACCACGCCCATCGGGGGCTGCTTCAATAGTGTGAAGCAATATCTCTCGCAATTTTGGAGCTAGAGCCACCAAATTTGGCAGGTTGATAATTGATGATCCTTTTTCAAGAGCGTATTATTTTTGAAGAGTATTTATCAGTCGGCTGCAGTGAACTACTCTCTACAATGAATAGCACATGTAAATGGCAAATGGCCATAGTAAATGGTGCTTCGCATGGAACCGCAAGAATTCTACACATCTCACAATTATATGGCATGATAATAATAAAAATCGAAAACCTCAATATATGCACATATGTATATGTGAAATATTTGTATAGCTGTTGTTCAGTTGGGCAGCAGGCAATAATCTTTGCCCTGGCCAGACAAAATTATGGCCTCTCCACTAATAACATGCTTTCCGGCCGCAGGAAGCTGGCCGTGCTACTGTCTGTCCAAAGCAATCATCGCCAGCGGCGGCAAACGAGATCTCTGGAGTCTAGACCCGAACAATGAAGCGGTTAACAAAACGCCCACTCATCGTCAACGTCAACGTCGACGTCAGCGGCCGATGTCTGAGCATCAGTTTGGAGCCGTTGGCTACTGTTTTCACTTTCGCAAAATGACAGATCAAAGATTACCAGCATCAGTCATAATCATTGAGGCATACACTCAGAGAAAAAATATCAATTTATATTGCAACTTGTTGAAATTTCGGTTAAGCTATTAATTTCGTTGGGCATGAGATTCGTATAGAAATATTGAGAATTGATTTTTAGATAGAAGTTTTAAATGGAGTTAATATTAGGCCTAAAATTTAATGATTCGAAATTCTTCAAAAAAAGATATAATACAGAAATGTCAAGCGATATAAAGAATTCATATCCAAATAGAAGGTTTAAATGGAGTTCATATTAGGTGTAAAATTATATAATTCGAGAATATTGATAAGAGAAATAATACCGAAGTGTCAAGAAATATTCAGAATTGATTTCTAAAGTGGAGTTCACAATAATTCTGAAATATTATCCATAATATCCAGAAATGTCAAGAGCTTTTATAAACACTATTCCCTTTAGTACTAGACTTTTTCTGTGAGTGCACTTTGCTGCAGTTTCGTGCCAAATAATGGAGACCCTGTATAGGCGTTTTCCAGCACTGGAGAGAAGGTGGAGCGGTGCGGGAAAGGGGAGTTCGAAAAACCGAAGGAAACATCAAATGCACAAGACACGCGATTTCTTTGACATTAATCAAAATAATTGGCGCATTTCACTTCAACTTCGCTCAACAGACTCATTCTCACATTTTGTTGGGCAAAAATGAAAGACACAACGCAACAGCAACTGAAACAATTCCATATAAATTTATCATATTTATATAGCGTACTCTGGCTCGGGAGCTCTGCAGCTCTGCAGCTCTTTAGCTTCATTTTCATTTCCCATTCGCATTTCGTTGAAAATTATTTGGGATGTGACGCCGAGATTTTTGTCACATTCACATTTCGCCTGTCAGAGACGCAGTTGCCAGACTCTCACTCGATCTTTCACTGTGTGTTTGTGTGTGTGTCGGTAAATACCTTGTGTGCCGGGCAAGACGTAAGCCCCATAAATAATATTAAACATGGACGCAGCCAGCGTCAACATCGTGCAACGGCAACGGCGACGGCGACGGCGATGCGGTGCCTGGCTACCAGCTCATAAAACTGTTTCAGACAAACAGACCGAGGCGATGCCTTCATTTCGTGCCACTTTATTTTTGTAAGGGAGCCCCGTTTCAACCTGCCACGCCCCCTTTTGCGCCTTTTGCCACCAGCAGCAGCAGCAGCAGCAGCAACGCAGCAGCGAGAGAGCGAGAGAAAAATGAATTATGATTATTGCCATGTAAAAGAGCAGGCGAAATGTCAAAGTGACAACGCCTAATATATGATTATGTTTTCGAGCGCTCGAAATCTGATACTCTCACACACACAGACACACACACATACACACACTAACACACACGCACACCCTGGACACGCCGAATTGCTCCCAGCTTCAAACCGCAGCCGGCACAGCCCAGAACCACAGCCTCAATGTCATTTCTGTGATGTGTTGTTCTCGTTGTTGTTGTTGTTGTTGTTGTCGTTGTTGTTGTTGTCGTTGTTGCTGTCGCTGTTTCGGCTTCTGGCTGTGGCTGTGGCTGTTGCCCCGGCCGGCCGACTATTTCCCACCGCATAGCGCACATCAATCCCGATCCGAACCAAAAACCGAAGCGATACCAGCAAAACCCGGCTGACTGCCTGGGTTAACCGCATCGTTCAGCTGGGTTGTTGCTTCTCTTCTCGTTGTTGTTGTTGTTGTTGTTTGTCCTGCACTTGTTTCGGAGGCGTTGCCCACACTGCGAGAAAAAGGGCAGTACTAAAGTCCAGAGTGCGACGTTTATAAAGCCAAAATGGACCCCATTATTTGAATACTCTGAGAGATATGCATTAGACTTTATAGAAAAATTGACAAAAGTTTGAATGAAACACAAAATACTTAATACAAGAATTTGCCCATTTGAATTGAGCGTTAACACTGCTTAAAGAAATTATTGTAATACGACTTTTGAGATTGAAATTTTGAATTTGGATTTTATTGAAATGTTTTGTATTCGGAAATGTGAGCAATAAGCTTCAGCTAAAATATTAATTACTCTAAGATTGATAACTTGAATGAAGTGCAAGAATTTGTCGACTTAAAGAAAGTATTGCCTTACATTTTTAAGATGGAAAGCTTTATTCAAATTTTGAACACGGAACTTCTTGAAATTCTTAATGCTTTTCTTCGAGTGCACTTGAAGCGTGCGAAGCTGCGACACATGTGAGCATCCACATCCAAATCTACATCCACATCAGCAGCAGCATCAGCATCAGCAGCTGCTGCAGATGCAGATCTCGCCTGATAGCCATGACTCTGGGTCTGGCTCTGGATCCGTGAGCTTCTGCTTCTATATTTCATTGTTGCCCCTCGCCCCAGCAACAACAGTAAAAAGTCAAGTTGCTTTTCGGGCCTCTGATTACGCAAATAGATAAGTTCCGGGGCTGGTTTAGGGTGGCTCTGCCTCTGGCTTTGCCTTTGGCTTTTTTCATCTCTGTGAGCTCTGCAACTCAGACGTGGCTGATAACAGACATCGAAATCGTGGCTAAGTGGCGCGCGCGGCACGGCCACTTGGGCCACTCGCGGCCACTCCATGGCCGATGGGCTGGCAACATACAACACATCACATCATACAAAAACCTGAATAGGGTCCACGTATGTTTGATAGGCGGATACGCATACGGCATACAACATACGGCATA